GCAGTCTCAGTGGTGAAATACAAATGTAAAAACTACCGAAAAATAACCAAGACTCCTTAAAACACAACCGCTCTACTCAACGCAACTACTAACTATACCCGCGGTCAGAGAGCGGAGATGTTTACCCTTTGTGATGTAATATGACGCGTTTGACGTATGACCTTAAAAAAAAGCCGTTTTTAAGAGCAGAGCTCAAAATTGCTCCTTTCCCTCTGAATTCCTGCCCTTATGTCTCGTATAACATATCAAATCCTACAGTCACTTTTTTAATTCTAATCTTCAAGCAAGTTTAAGCATAAATGTAGAAAAAAAAAAAGACCTGCAAGATGCTCTTTAAAATAATGATAGTTCCACCATAAATTGGTGCAGAAAAATAAGAATGCAAGAAATATAACATCAACTGTTGACGCTCAAATGTCCTGGGAGAAGAACTCAATAAGCGCCACCATCCCCTAATGTTGCAATAACATCTACACCTTCACATTTATAAGTATGTGTTTCTGTAGTGTGCAGCCCACCTCCTGTCTGTCGGGTACAGCTCAGCGGTGACGACATCCAGCGAGTTCCAGGCGGAGATGCTGAGGCCGTTGTAGAGACACAGCATGAAGATCATCATGGACTCGCTGGTGCCAAACCACAGGAAGAAGCAGCTGATGCCTGAGAGCACCATGGAGCCTCCTGCAGGACACAACACGGAACAAAATAACCTCATTTACCTCAGCAGAGATCACCACAAACACAGACCAAAATCAAAAGAAATGAATAAGAAGGGTTTCTTTGTACCTAACATGCTGAGACGTCCTATTTTGTCCATGAGCAGCGCAGAGACGATGTTGCCGGGCAGCACAGCCAGCGTTCCCAGGAAGTTGACAAAGTAGACCCAGTAGGCGCTGTAGTCGGCGTCAAACGTCATCTGACAGCCCGTCTTGTTGTGGTGGAAGGAGCTGTTGATCACTCTTGAATTTGTCAGTTTGGCATCGTCAACATCTGTAAATGTGGGACACAAGCATTTTAATTTGGAGTTTAGGTAATACATTTGTTTTGATCCACCTGCCACCTTCTACATCTCGATGTAAACTTGTCTCTTTCTCACACTGTAAATCCTTAATGCACAAACTAAATGCTCTGTTTTCTGCCGCTGATAGAGCGGACTTAAATCTGCATGGGTTCATCTCATTGGTTGGTTTTTCTGGTATTGTTTATTTTAGTTTTATTCATTTCTATTGATTCAGGAAAGGTCAAATGGTTTTGGTATTTCTATGAATTCATCACTGAAGTACAATTTCAACCGTACCGGCTTTCAGGCAGGGCTCTGTCTCTTTTATTTATCTTGTGTTTTGCATGTTGCATGAAAAGTTGTGTTTTATTTAAATGACTACAAACGATTTGACACAGAAAACCTGCTGTGTCCACTATCCTATTTAACTTTCTGTGAGACAGCAATAGTCTTCTTTCCCTACATGCTGAGGTTTTCCTTTATTCTCAACTAGTTGGATTCTTTAATTAGAGGTCAAATAAAACCTTGCCTGCATTTGCATTTAGAATTGATTCATAAACATAGCCCTTCAAAAGTGTATGCATGGCATGCGAGTAGACAGTATTAAGTATTCTGTATAGTCGACATGTCTGTGGGCTCTCTCCGTAAATAGCAAAGTGTATTAATAAACATCAGCGGCTGCAGCACAGTGAAAACATTCCCCTCTCTCACGTCTCATGACGCAGTCCTCCCTCCCTCCCTCATTCTGTCTCTCCTCGTTCCTCTCTTTCCTGCACTCTCTAGAGACACATTGCTTGGGGCAGAGGGACTGCATTTCCCATGGGGCATTACCAGCAACCTGATGTGCCCTTACTCTTTCCATGTTCAGCGCTTTTTCCTGAGCACTGGAGGGAACTTTCTTTCCACCCAGCGCTCCCATAAGGTCTGATTCAGCCTCAGTTCCTCTGAGCATTCCAAGTGTCTGCACTGCTTTTCCTTTGTTCCTGTCTGGGTTTGTGCCTGCCTAAAAAATGATTAAACTGCACTTTTATAATAAAAGGTGCAAAGTTATGCATTTAGATGTTTCTGCAGAAGGCTGGTTCTGCTGCATCAAAACAAAGCATTATATAATGAAGTGAATAGGAACATCTCACATTTGGAAGTTAAATTCAGCTGCTTAGAGAATCATGTTCATTTACTTCACTGCTTAAGTTTTTTTCAAAGCATCTAAAACACCAGTGACAATAACAAGCATCACTCCAGGAGTGTTTGTGTGGTTAGAAAAGGCCATTTCCGTGCTCTGCAGCCGTGCCCTGCTCAGTTCCCTTCTTAATAAGTACAGTCGCCTGGGCTCAGACAGGCAATCTGTGCAGGGGCAGGGAGGTTAAGCAGTCATTTAGTGGCATAAAGCAAAGCCATAAACGCTCAAACCAATTCTTTCTTGCCTGGAAGCTCGGACGTTAGACCCAAAATGAACTGTCAGAAAGAGACAGAGAGACTGAGTGAGACTTATTTGTGAGCCACCAACGGCATAATAGGATTTTCTGGGGTGGAAGTGCTCGAGAGGAATGCTCTGAATGTGAGTGTGTAGACTCACCTGTGTTGTAAAAGAAGGAATCGACAAAAGTGCAGTTTTGGAAGTAGGACCCTACGGAGGAGACGTCTTCAAAGTAGCAGTTGAGGAAGGACGAGTCGATGAATGTGACTGACCTGATCTTCATACTGATGAACCTGGGAGGAGAGGAGTTAACACAGAACACATTAATATATGTTTAAAGTATAAAAGACTCAACTATTAAATCGGGATAAACAGGGATTGGAAATTGACACTAAATCATTTCTTGTTATTAATGCTCTTTGGGGTGATCCCTTCCCTGTAGTGTGTTACAGCACATAGGTTTTTTTGTAAATGGTCTGAAAAGGCTACAATCCATGTGGGAGTTTCTCTCCCACACTCCACCCCCCCTAACCTGAATGACATCCATTGCACTCCCACAGGATCTCTTTTTACTTCTGTGACATCACTATGTAACAGTTGCGCTTCTACTGGCTAGTGCTCAAATACGTTTTACGTGCTAGGCAGGACATCTCTAAGTGGGACAACAGAGCCGGCCAGCTAACCAATCAGAGCTGGGCTCTGGTTTCAGACAGAGGGTGATAAGAGGTGCTGCAGCACAGGCAGTATGAGAAAATTAAGACCTTTTTGAAAAAGTGTGTAAACATGTCACAGTAGAGGCCATCCTTTAGCATGACTATGACAGGATTTAGCAATGTGTTACATATCTATATTATCTGTTGCATGCTGCTGTACACATTATGATGTATGTGTGTGTGCGTGCGTGCGTGTGTGTGTGTGTTAGAGAGAGGAGAGAGAAAGAGATAAGGCTTTTCATTTCCTGGTGCTGTGTGAGATAAAGGGGATGCAGGATTAATATTACCAGCAGTGGTGTGTTGTTTTTGGGAATGACTAATAGTACTGCTATCCTACAACGAGACGAGAGGCTTTTAACCACAACACTGTGCTGAGGGAGGCTCACAGGCTCCATTCACAACTTGTAAGCTGGTTTTTATAACTTCTTTATTATTAATCCCTTTGTCTGAGAGAGCAATATGAAAATCCAATCAGAACATGTTACCTGTCGTTCAGAAACATGCCGTTCCTGTGGATCTGGTTCTCCAGGGTGAAGTTGAAGGTGAAGTCTTCGATGCGCTCGTTGTTGTGGATCTTCACTCTGGAGGCGTAGTCGTCGGCCTGGAGGTGCTTGATGACGTCCGGGAACCAGACGGCGAGCCCGTAGTACCTGGACGCAGCAACACACTAGTAGTAGTCAAGTGTGGTCTCTGACAGAGCCACTCACTTTGAATTATTACGAATTGTTTGGAGAGTTATATTTGTTGTTGCTATTTCATAAATTAGTAATGAATTATCTCAATTGCAAACCAAACATTTATAAGATGTGCATATTTGTTTTATAATGCATCAATTTGGCAAGACCAGGACTTCTTGATAAACGTCTTCATTTAGGTCAGTACAACAAATAGTGTATGGTGGGAAACAAATCATCTGCAAAAGCCCCAAAGTCTGACTTTGCTCTTCTTTTTCCCCATCTCTTTTCATGCAGTGCACATGTTGGAGTCACTAACGTCCCAACGTTGGTTTTAGGCAAACATATTCATCGAAAAAAAGTTTTTTATTTGAAAAGATTGAAAGAATTAGTGACAGAATTTTGAACCTAAATTCACTTTGGTAATAACGCGTCAGAACACGTGTTTAAATATGTCGACATAAATAAACAGGTTTTTTGTTGAGTGTTATTGATTGTGTTATATTTATTTAGAGGAGGACATAGAAAGGTAGTTTACAGATCGTTTTTTTGTATATCTAAGCTGGGAGGTCAAATTTAAAAAGGAAAGAAAATAATCTTGGAGCCGACTCAGAAAAAAAAAAAATCTCTGATATCGACCAACAGACAAAACAAAGGAAATAACCTCATCTTGTCTCTTTTTAAATGTAAAACACTGTCCTTAAGGCTTTCACGTAGTTCATTACAGAAGCCAACTAATAAAAAGGCCGGACTGAATTAGCGTGCACTGCACCAACATTACAGTAGTGAATTTCATATTGCTCTTGTGATGATATTCAAGATAAGATCACCACTTGTTCAGGGTACAATAGCCACTTTCCCTCAAATAGCCTCTCTCTATCCAATCTAACCTGGTAACATTCATCATGAGGGTGTAAGTAAGATACTATCTGCCTCAGTGATACTTCACTAAACTCACGGTTATTTAGCTGGAAAGTAGTGGTCACTTGGCTAAGTATCACTAAGGGCAATGTATAGCATCATTTAACATGATGACAGAAGAACAAACACAATGTAGAAATATAAAGTGTTCTCTTACCCAAATGATAGAGTAAACCAGACTATAGCCAGCTTTATAGTGTTGTCTTTCACTGGGTAGTCGAAGCATTTCATGAAAGTCAACCAGATCTGTAATAAAAGACAAAGCCATTTAGTCAATGAGAATCTTAACAACCATTAGGAGTCAGTATAAAACCAAAATATAACGTACTCCTCTGAGCTCAGCCTTGATCTTGTAGAGGACTTTGAGGACGGGGTTGGCTGACTCATTCTGCATCTCCACCAGCTCGTCCAGCTGCTTGGGGACTTTTATCCTGTTGACCTGCAGGGGGAGACACTGATCTGTCAGCTGCTGAGGCACTGCAGCAGTAGGAGGGATGACAGTGTGCAGGCCGGTGTGTACCTTTATATATACAGTCTATGGTGTGTACTCACAGTGAACACTCTCTCAGGCTCTCCACGGGCGCGCATGTTGGTGTCATGGATTTGTTTGAGCACCATCCAGGCCTCGTCATGTTTACCATTCTACGAGACAGACGCGTGTTATGAATACACATCAGGACTTCCCATTCATCTTCAATAGGCTGACTCCAGTCAACCATACTGGCTTTTATGAGTCTCTCATATTATTACTCAAGTTGGCTTTTCATTTTGGAACATTTTACTAATACATTTTTATATTTTTCATATCTGCTAATGAGTTTTAAGTGACACAAATGCAAGGATTCTCCAAGTCAGACAACAGAGCCCATACATAAAGAATTATAGGCTATTGGCGACAACTTAAGCCCTGTTTTTTTGCTTATTTCATGCATATTTGGGCATTTGAAATTATGCCAAATGAGCTATTAGAGGTCTACGTTGTAATGTACCCATGGATGCATACACAAATATTATGGGGTAACTTTAATATGAAGGAAACTTGGTTGTTTCTAGTAGTCATCTAAAATGATGTGTATCATGTTGGTGTGTTCAATTTTGAACAAGGTATTGCCTCTATGAGTTGTGTGTGTCACAGCATCTGATGTAACTCCAACTGCTGACCGTTTTTGTGAGATTGCCAAATCAGCAGCCGCACTATAATAACTAACTAACTTCCTATTGTTTTTTAAATGTCTGCATGAGACTGTCCATTTGAAACTCTCCTTTAAACCTCACAGAGTATTTTTGTCTTAGATCTCTCCCTTTCACAGCTCCCCCTTCAACTTTCTACTCACCACTGAAAAAGATGGACTCGCAATTTGAAAACCTCTGCATTTTTGCAAAGATGCATGTGAAATCAAACCATTTCACTGCATTTATTTCACATAACGAATGAAGCGCTATTGGAATCAAAATGCTACTTTACAAACATTTTTGACATTCTCTGCTTTCCATAAGAACCATTGTCATTAAGGTTATAATGGTGCTGCCAGCATCATAGTATGCGTCTGTTTCTCTTACCTCCAGTAAGAAGCGGGGGCTTTCAGGCATAAAAGTGAGAGCGACCACTGCAGAGACACACGGCAGCGCACACACCACCACAAACACTCTCCAGCTGTGGAACTGATAGGCTGAACCCATGCTGAAACTCCAGCCTGAACAAAGAAGCAGAAACACACACATGGTTCAATTGTAATGCCATGAAAAGACATACTAACAAAATCATCTAATTTAAAGGGCCCATGACATGCTTGTCCGGTTATTACCCGTCCCCTTGTGTGTTATGAAGGTTTTTCTGCATGTAAACGGTCTGCAGAGTCACAAACCCTCAAAGTACACCCTGTAGCGAGTAAAACTCTAACATAGAAAAGACCTGTCTATGCTGCCCCAGAACGCCTCGTTGGAGATTTCTCATTTTTCATTGTTTACTTCCTGGGTATAGTGACGTATTTCGGGTATAGTGACGTGCCGTTACGTCCGCGGAGACGTTACGTTTGGACCAATCCTCGGACTTCCTCACACACACACTCGGCGGGACGTTGCGAGGCTCGCTGCTGCGAGGAGAGGGACACTCAGCCTGGGCACACACACAAACTCCCAGCCAGGCTGCGGGTGTGTTTCGGGCTGGGTTTCGCTGTGTCTCGCAGACGGCCACTGGGCTCACAGGGAGGTCACGCGGTCGCGACGGCACGCTTCCACCACCAGTCTGAACTGTTTCTGACCTAAGCACCTGAACGAGTTTTTTCACCTGTATGCATAGAGAGACTAACGTGACATGTTACGACGAACATCTAACAAGTAACGGTTATCATATCGACGTGTAACAATTAGGATATACTTCACACAGTTTCCAGACCGACTTCAGTAGCTCAGCTGGGTTGGCTCGGCAAATCACTGGTGGTGGTGACTATAAATTCGGTCGTCGCTTATTGAAGTCTCTCGAGACACCCGAGCTTTTAATTAATTCTTTACTTATTTTTTTAACTAAAATGGCCTCGTCATGTCCCAGTTCTCCAGGCTGGAATTTCGAGGGTACAGTCCGGTAAAGAATGACTAGTATTAAGGTACAACTCCAGATGATCTTATCTAAATGTACCACGTTAAAAGGTTTGAGTGTAAACCAGAGGTATGTCCCGTAGGAGCACACATCACATAAAGGTGAGAGACAGGATGGCGGAACAACCTCGAG